CCCACTTGAAGCTTTTGCTGTGATATCAGAGTAAAAGTGTACTCCCTTCCCCCATTAAGAGTCTAATCCTGGTGTAAGTGATTCTTTAATTTTTTTTTTTTCATGGTGACTGTGTGCATCTTTTGTCTTCCAAAGAATACGTGAACTCTTGGATTGTATTGTCTCGGGATTGGAAAGGTGAAAATGATTACTCCGGAGTTAACGTGTCACAAAGGCATACTTTGGCATTTTCCCTTTGCAGAATGTAATCAGACTTGCAACAGATATATCCAAAGTCATTGAGACAGTTGAGAACATATTCTGTCTCATGCTACACCAGGCACCTCTGTAGTGCCGCTGGCCAAGTGAATCACGTTTGCGGTATCTATAGTAGTACATTGAAAGGTTTCCGTGATAGGCAGTATTTGATCATTTAATTGGAATTGACAGATTCAGTCTGAAGGCAGGTGAGTAGGACATTTAAAAGCTGAGAGAGAGTCTTTTGTTCAGAATGTGCAGTGTCTGCTCTTATTTCTGATACTTTCCAGATAACTGATACTAAATCCTTTATACTTGACATAGTGTCGTTAAGGATTGCTTTCAAATGTCTACCAGCATTTGGATTGGATTGATATTTTCCCATCTTTTTATAGGTTTGGTCATAATAGATGTGCAGCTTCTATGTCTGAAACACTGTACCACTTCTGCTGTTGTAATTATGCTCTCTGGCTTAATTCTTTATTGTTGTATCTTTTTAATGTAAATGAGTTACCTTGTATGTCCAGTTTCCCCAGATGAGTCTTAGATTACAGCAGTGATGAAATCATATACAGCTGGCATTGACTGACTTGAAAAGATACATACATGAGAACTAGACTTATTTTTATAAGTCATCCTAGAACACTTGTACAGGCTTGTTGTGCCATTTTCCAGCTTTTGAGCCTGTTGAAGAGTTGGTTATAAAATCTTCTGTGTAGAAGGTGACCAAGTAGATTCAGGTGCAATTGAAGAATGAGCAGTCTCCCTTACCATTTCTGGAAATTCAGTTCAGTAAAACTACTAGAATCTTGAGAACAAACAAAATAATTGTCTTTCATTAGAGATAAGCGACTTTCAAATAAATTTATATGGGATAGTGTGTTGAGACCAATAGATAAAACAATGCAACTTAAAGATATTTATTATATACTGAAATAGCCAAATAATCACACTTGCAAACTTTATTAGTTCAGTATTTGAGTTTTCCATTGTGGCATACTTTTTAAAAAACATTGGGGAAAATACAACTAGAAACAAAGCTTTTATACTTCTGAAATGTTTTTGCAGCAATTACCAAATCAGCAGCCATAGAGGCTTCTATTTGTTTCTTTGCAACAGGTTCAGAAGAGGTATCAGCAATCTTCGTCTTGTGTTTATAGCACACAACCTGAATTGGGAAACCTGAGGTCAGATCTGCCTCTAAGACATACTCTAAGTAATACCAACTGAGTCACATTGTCACTGGGCATGTCGACACGTGCACTTCCATGTGCATTAATCTGTTTTAATGCACACTAAAGCGTCACTTAAAACGTGCACTTTCACTAATGCATTTGGTTAATGCATGCTAAGGCAGGCTAATACTCATTTTCCTAGCATCTCACAATGGAGGGTGCCTGTACATGAGCCAGGAGGCTGCTCTGACATGGTGTAATTAGGGAGTGTGCTAATAACAAGGTCTAACATACATAAACTGCAGGAGGGCCAATTTAGACTAGACATAAGAAAAAAGTTCTTTATGGTGTGTGTGTGTCCAGGGTCTGGAACAAACTCCCCGCCCCCCAGAGGTGGTGCAAGCACCTACTCTGGACTCTTTCAAAAAACAGGTGGATATAGTTCTTGCCAGGGTTACTTGATCCCAGTTGACTTATCAGCTGTGGTGGAGGGGCTGCACCCAATGATCTCATGAGGTCACTTCCAGTCCCTAATGTCTATGAAACCTATTATATTAGTGTGCTCCAGACAGCCTCCACGTCTTGTGTATCAGTGTCCCCGCGCTTCAAAGTGGTGGTGGGGGTGCTTTAACTAAAGCTTGTTTGAGCTTTAAATGATGCCCCGCTGCTATTTTGAAGCATGGAGACACTGGTACATGAGACACCTGTGGGTGCTTTAATTGGAGTGGCTCTCAGAGAGCACCCCACTCCCACCCCCAGAGCATGTGTAACCCTTCCCCATCCCCCCAGCAGAGGTACTAGATTTAATGTGCATTAACGAAAGTGTGTTAATGCATGTGTATTACCCACTATCTGTCATTTTTTGCCACCTGAGACCTTACAAGAATGTGAGGCTTAATTTTCAATGTCTTTAAATAGAAGCTACTGCAGAATTACAAAGCTTATTTTACATGTTAATGTTCTAATATGCTTATGCCATAAGGGACTGCTTCCGAAAATGACGATATTATTTGTATTAGCTGAATTTTCAGACCCACTTAGTCTCGGTCCTGTATTCTTTTTCTTCTGGTGTCCTTGTCATAAACTAGATGTTTTTCCAGAATTGTGCACAAGCAATGGTTCTCTCCATTGCTGCAGCGAGGTCCTCCATACAGGTCTTGCCAAGGAGTCGGCAAACAAGTACATGCTCCATAGTCTGTACTTCCCCGCACTCGCATATAGTCGTGTCATTAGAGTAGTCCCAGTTGATCATGTTTGTTTTTGATCATCTAGTTTGCATGTGCAGGCAATTCAGGCATCGCCATGTTGGCCAGTCAAGATCCACCCCTCTTGGAAGGTCCTTCTGGGGTTCCTGGTCCATTTTGGAGCATGCGATTGCACATAATCTTTCATTCCCTAACCTCACTCGCACCCTGTCAGTCACTGTGTCCAGTGGTGCAACACTGGTTACAACTCTTTCATGTTTTAAGCCATTTAATTACTTCTGTGTGATCACAGAGTGGAAGTGTAGGATCTTCCATGTGCCGTGATAATTCTTTTGGGCTCACTAACTTTCTTCTGATATCAGGTGGTGCAATGCCAGCCAGCAGTACAAGCTATCCTTTGGTGTTGGCTTTAGATATCCTGTTATTTCATGACAGCTGTCTTGTAGAACAGCTGGGTCTGTCTTCTTGGCATGAACTGATCATTCCCATACTGGGCATGTATACTCTGCAGTGGAGTAACGCAAGGCAATAGTGATGGTTTGTAAGGTAGTTGTCCTGTATAATTGTCATAGAGGATAATAACTATTGGTGGTTTCCGTGCTAAAGATTGGTGAGAAGCAATCTGAGACCACTGCAGCACATCATGTATAAGTGACTAAAGTTTTGCTTGGCCTTGAAGGAAGGAAGAGGAAGTAAAATTTCAGTTGAAGCTTAAGCAGCACTTATTTTATACCTTGTATCTGAAATCTGACCTGAGTTGCAGCGTCTAATTCTTAGTGCATTGCTGCTTTTTATCAATTTCTTTTTTTTTTTTTCTTTGTTGGTCTAATACCAAGCGTTTTAAATGATGTTTGGCTCCCCTGGGATTAGGATCTAAGATCCTCTGTTCTCACTTTTTTTTTTTTCTTCTGAGTAAGACCGTCCCATCTTTGTGGCAAGCCAGGAGTAACCCTGTGCCACCTTGTTCCTACTCTGCATGCTAAATCCTGGAAGAGATGCAGTGTAGTCACCTTGCAGCATCTCTAGTGTCCTTATTGGCATGAGAATATTTCTTCAAAGTGACCAGAACCAGTGGCTGCAGATGAAGTAACCTGCAATAGGCGGTTCCAAGGTAAACTTTAAGGGAAATGACTCCTAAAAATTGAAAGGTAGCTTATGCCCTGAAGTTTGTATTCATGTAATGTGTGAGTTGTAGTTTGTTTAGAATGTGCCTACAATCCTAAATATTGCCTATGTAGTTGGCTACTTCTGGTTTGACTTCTGTTTAAACAGTTTTTTGGCTTCAGTATCTTGTGGCACTGAGTTCTGCAGTTTAATTGTATGGATGTCTCTTTGCTTGGCCCTTGTGATATACTTTTTTTATGCTGGCACAAAGGCATTGACTATTTACACCCTTAGTTTAGGTACTTAAGAGTGTTGTGTACTTAGTGCATCTGAAAAGTTGTCAGTGAGATTTTTTTTAATCTACATTACAAAAAACCAGATAGATGCAGCTATACCTTCCTCATGTGAAACTAATTGCCTGTCTTGTAGGATTTTAATCAAGAGTTGAAATGAGTCCATGGAAACATGCATATATGTTTTTGTGTACCAACAAGAAAATTAAAGGACTGGTAGTTACTTTAGGAGTTGGA